CTCCTCCCTCCTACCTCCTTTCTTACTCCTCCTCCTACTCCTCCTCCTCTTTCGCTCGCTTCTTCTGTGCCTTGGTCTTATCTTCATCCTCCCCCTCTCGTGCTCGCTCTCTCACTTGCCTTCTTGCTCTCACCTTCCTCACATCCCATGACCTCCTTTACAGCCAGAAGCAGCAGACGCAAGGGAGGCATGCTCGACCAGGAAGATGAAGAAAAGCGATCCGATCAAGTCCAGATGACAAGAGTTCAGAGGCGAGGAGGAAGCTGGAGCAGGGAGAGGCAGAGGACGGGGGAAGGAGACAAGTCGAGGCGGGGGGCGGGGGGAGGAGGGAGAGGGCAGGGGAGGGCAGCACGAGGGAGGGAGAGGAGAGAATGTAAATAATTGTAGATGAAGGGGAAGTAGAAGGAATCGCAACGAGTCATTTCAGCTTTACTGTCGAGAAGTTTTGTATCGCAAACAGGGAGGGATAATTGCATGTGACCTTGTCACACATACGAAGATGAAGATGAGGAGGACGGCAAGTTACTGGGAGCTTGCGAGAGCTTCACGCTGGAGCACACAGACGAGTCAGATATCGTCCTCTCCACCGCACTCCTCCCCCGCACTCCTCCCCCTCCCTTTCTTCATCCCTACATCTCATCCTCCTCCTCTTCCCTCCTCTCCCCGTTCCTCTCCTCCTCCTCTCATTCCTTCGCCCCCCCTCCCCCCTCCCTTCCCCTCACCTGGCTTACGATCGCCTCCAACACAGCTTTGCGGCTCTTGGCGCTCAACTTGCTCTCAGCCCACTTCTCAAGAGCCTGAGAAAGACAGTAAGGAGGAGGAGGAGGAGGAGGAGGAGGAAGTCAGGCAGGCGACGAGGAGTAGGAGATGAAGCTGGCGGTTGAATGAGGAACAGGAAGAATAGTGCGAGGGGAGAAGAGGTGGAGGAGCTTGTACAACCTCGCCGGGCTCGAAAAAGCCAACGTAGTTTGACGGCGAGATGGCACGTAGGCTGGCGATGACATCTGCAGACATGCTATCAGCCCCACATCCCCCTTACACTCCCTCCCCCGCTCCTCCTCCCCCGTCCCTCCACCCTCCTCTGCACACAACCGCTCCCTTACTCAGCCTCCCTCCCCTCCTCCTCCTCCTCCTCCTCACCAGCACCCAGCTTGATCGTGTCGTGCTTCTCCAGCTTGTCAATGAACCTCGTGATGCTCTCTTGCGTCACAGCTGCTCCTCTCGTCTCCTCCTTCAGCAGCTCGTACGCTCCGTCAACCTGCTCCCTCCTCAGCACTGTCTGGATCGCCTCTGCCGTCACTTCCCAGTGCCCGTTGAGATCTGCCGACACGGCCGCCTCGTCCAGCAGCAGCTTGCCAAGGCCCTTGAGCATCGAGTCGAGCGCCACCATGGTGTGGCCCAGGGGGACGCCGACGTTGCGGGAGACGGTCGAGTCGGTGAGGTCGCGCTGGAGGCGGGAGATGGGGAGCTTGTTGCTGAGGTGCTCCAGGATGGCGTTAGCGATGCCAAAGTTGCCCTCCGCGTTCTCGAAGTCGATCGGGTTGACCTTGTGGGGCATGGCGGAGGAGCCGATCTCTCCAGCCTTGGTCTTCTGTTTGAAGAGCCCCTGGGAGATGTAAGTCCAGATGTCGCGGGCGAGGTCGATGAGAATGACGTTGATCCTCCTCGTGCCGTCGAAGAGCGCTGCCATGTTGTCGTAGTGCTCGATCTGCGTCGTGCACTGCAAGCGCTGCAGGCCGAGCCCGTCGATGAGAGCATTGCAGAACGCGATCCAGTCACGGTCGGGGTAGGCGACCTTATGGGCATTGAGATTCCCCGTGGCTCCTCCGAACTTGGAGCAGTGGGGCACAGACTCGAGGTTCTCTACCTGGGACTTGATCCTGTGAACGAAGACCATGATCTCCTTGCCCATGCGCGTCGGGGATGCTGGCTGCCCGTGGGTGCGGGCGAGGAGGGGCACGTCAGCCCACCTCCTAGCGTACGAGTCGAGCACGCAGAGGACTTGGGCGAGCTTGGGGAGGTAGACGCTGCGGTAGAAGTTGAGGATCATGAGGGGGTAGCAGGTGTTGTTGATGTCCTGCGAGGTAAGGCCGAAGTGGACGAACTCCTTGACCTTGGTCAGCTTCTCCATCCCAGGCTCCGACGACATTTGCGTCAGCCTCCACTTGATGAAGTACTCCACAGCCTTCACGTCGTGGTTGGTGGCGAGGGGTGGCCCCCCCTCCGCTCCTCCCTTGAACTCCGTCTGCTTCACCCACTCTGCGTCCTTGTCCGCGAAGTTGAGGTATATACCTCGGAGCTTCTCGAGGAGAGTTGGGCTGGGCTGGACCTCGGCGAGCTGGGGGAGGGGAGGCTGCATGGAGAGCAGCGCGATGAAGTACTCGATCTCAACATGCACGCGGTACTTGATGTAGGCGAACTCAGAGAAATGGTCTGAAACCTGCTGGAGGCGGTTGCGATATCGCCCGTCCAGGGGCCCAATGGCGTGCAGCTGTGTCGACATCCTTCTGTCCAAACAGGAGGCGTCAGGGGCAGCAGGCACGAGGGAGAAGAGGAGGAGGAGGAGGGGCAAGAGCAGGGCCTCCTGGGACCCGCGACTCTGCTGTATCCTCATCCTCCTGACTAGTCGCTAACACCCATCCCTGGACCCTCTCTGCTCCAGCAATCTCCTTCGTTGTCTGATCAAAGAAGAGAACATAAGGCAACCAACAGCTGCTCAACAGACCCTACAGTAGTACCCCGTTCACCTGCACTCTGCCGCACTACAGAACCTCGTCACCAGCTCCCCAAATGGGTTTGCTGCTGTGACTGATACCTACAATGAGCGGATTGAAGGAAGGGGATCAGGTGGCAAGGAACAGCGGAGCAAAGGGGAAGATAGAAGAAGAAAGTGGATGAAGAGGATTCCAGCCTTCTCTCTTGCTCCTGCACTCCCTCCTCCTCTGTCAAAGTCGTAGCCCCTTCCAGATATCTCCACCTCTTGATTCGTTGTCTGCTCACAAATGCACTATCACTCAGCTCCCTTACTGCTGATGCTGATGCTGATGCTGATGCTGATGCTGATGCTCCTACTACTACGAAAATGACAATCACTGCTGATGCTGACTTTAGAATCCAACTCGAGATCCTGGTTCTCCCCCTCACCTCACCCCGCTGAACTTCCTTACTTCACCAGCTCATGTCAATCCTGCCCGACCCATCGCTCATCATGCGTGCCTTGCTTCTGCTGCTGATGAACTCTCGTCTCACTTCCTCCCTCCCCCC